CATAAAAATAACCGAACGCTGCTCTCAGCGACAGCTGTTTCCATCAGGTTAAACATGGTCTACTAGTTGTTTTTTTTTTCCCGTCCAGTTGGAATTGAAATGAAATTTATGAACAAGTATTTAAAAAGAGAACTTCTTAACATACGTAGCGTACTTACTTCTAATAATGATAAAATACGCTAACGACAGATGTATGCACATAAAATATTTCATGAAGTATTTCATATACTGACTTATCATTTGTCTTACTTACTCTTACATCCAAATATAAACACAAGCGAAACACACTCGCTGATATGTAATTCTTGTACGTTCTTTCTTATAAGCTACCATTATAGTATAGCGGTAAGTATTTGAATCACCGACGTTATAATTCTGTATTTGATTCCTAGTTAAAATGGAATTTTTATTCCAGCTGGAACAGTAGTGAGATGAGTACAAGCGATTTAAGAAATTTATCTGTGAATGGGTGCTGGTGAATTTATGTGATCTGCAAAAATAAATCAGCTAAATCCCCTGTTTGCATCTTGAAATTATTCAAATGGAGAAACTTGAAAGTAGACCTTCAGCGACTAATTAATCAGCTGTTTGTTTTTCATTTGCCTCCGATATGCAAGTTTTCAGCAGTGACAAACGTTGGGAGCTAAAAAGGGGAAAATAAAAAAGCGGTGTCAACACCAACAAATAAACAGTGACGCAGTGGAACCCAGCGCAGGTGAATTTGACTTACCGGGGAATTCAAGAACAGAAAGATTAGTTAACGAATCATAATGGAGCCAAGCGAAAAAAATTCACATTCACATTTAGCCTCCCTAAGGTTTTGATTTCCTAATGTTAACAGTTGACAAGTCTGTGAATGGCTGACATAATTGTTTGCAAATGGAAATATCTTCTTTCTCTTGCAATGTTTGGATATTTAAAACAAACAAGCAGTTACTGTGTAGCATTCTCTTTATGAGCGGCCGGCGTGATGCTGACCACATCACCCACCAAGTGCCGCTTGGTCTATAAAATATAGGTCTAGCCCTATATACCCAACACACCTGAAGGTGCGATAAAGGTTCCTTTTTTTTAACTTTATTCTCTTTGAGATGTATCTGAGAGCGCTAGTGTGTGTGGTCAACTACCTGCATACACAAAGCTTTTAGTGGATGAAACCTTACATAATGAATAAATAATGCCACAGAAATGGAGTCAAATATCTTGATCTAGTAAAAACGGTGATACCGTTCAGGATCAGAGAATAAAACAACAGTCTGAACAGTCACCAACAGTAATATACTGCATTAATTCAGCGTTGTCATCATTGTACGGACATACATGCAGTGCACACAGCCAACTAAACATTTCAAAACAACCACAAATACAACAGATGTGTTATATTTATAAGTTTCAAAACACCAACATATCCAGTTGTTTTCATCTACATCAGCGGTTCTCAACCTGTGGGTCGCGACCCGTTTGTGGGTAGAACGACACTTTCACAGGGGTCGCCAAAGACCATAGGAAAACACATATTCCCTGAAGTTATAAAACAGCAACAAAAATAATTATATGGTTAGGGGTCACCGCAACATGAGAAATTGTACTAAGGGGTCGCGCCGCATAAGGAAAGTTGAGAGCCACTGATCTACATCTTTATGCATTTAAAACAGGAGAAAACAAAGGCGTCTTTGTAAATTGTGGGCTGATCATTGCTAGACAGAGATAGGCAGCATACATATATCTGGAAATCTCAGCAAGATATGCATTTCAGCGAGCTATATGTCCGAGAAATTGTATGAATATTACTGGACACGTGGTTTTAAAGTAGGATAAGGAGGAGAAGGGCTAGGGAAACGAAGAAGAAGAAAAAGAGGAAGAAGAAGAAGAAGAAAAAGAAGAAGAAGAGAAGAAGAAGAAGAAGAAGAAGAAGAAGAAGAAGAAGAAGAAGAAGAAGAAGAAGAAGAAGAAGAAGAAGAAAGAAGAAGAAGAAGAAGAAGAAGAAGAAGAAGAAGAAGAAAGAAGAAGAAAGAAGAAAAGAAGAAGAAGAAGAGAAGAAGAAGAAGAAGAAGAAAGAAGAAGAAGAAGAAAAGAAGAAGAAAGAAAAAAAGAAGAAGAAGAGAAGAAGAAGAAGAAGAAGAAGAAAGAAGAAGAAGAAGAAGAAGAAAGAAGAAGAAGAAGAAGAAGAAGAAGAAGAAGAAGAAGAAGAAGAAGAAGAAGAAGAAGAAGTAGAAGAAGAAGAAGAAGAAGAAGAAGAAGAAAGAAAAGATATTGGACAGATTAGACCATCAATATCATTACGTGCCTTGCTATGTCGACGTTGCGTTAAGTGTCTTTGCAGATTTTGTTTTTAACCATTTTTTAACCTTATTGAGAGGTTTAGGGAGTTATCGACTGAGAAAATACACACGGACAAATGCCGTGATACTGCTGTATGCGTATGAAAGGTTTCAGAACAAGCATAAAACTACGGTGGCGGTACTGGATCTAGAAGATGCATATAAAAGGGTTAAAAACGACTTTTTCTTTAAACTGTGTACACTTGTCGATAAAGGGGTCAATCCCTGGATCGTCAAATGGATTACAGCGGTACTGTATAAATGTCAATCGCATTTCGCCTTGGCTCTTGTGCTGTCCATCATGTAATTTTGTACCTGACCTTCCAGAGGCATCCGCCATTTCACCAGTTTTGTTCAATGTGAATACAAGTAGGATAGCGGCAATAGAGGCGGTAAACAGTGACATAATTTTTAATTTTTGCAGACGATGCCGTAGTTCCGTAGTCTACAGACAGGGGAGAAAAAATTGAAATATCTAGAGAAATGTAGACCGCAGTAGTTAAACCGTACAATGCTTGTTTATAGCAGGTATCAAATTAGAAGTAATTGAAATACGCATTTTTTACACACACACACACACACACACACACACACACACACACACACATACATACACACACACACACACGCACACACAAACCAAACGCACTTAAATAAAAATAAAAAAACTATACAAATAATTTTAAAAATTAAAAAAAAAAAGAGAAAAGTTAAACCAGTAAAGAAAGCCGTTTAAAAGCGTATAATAAGAATATCTTATCACTAAACTATACATGACCTACTTCAAAATATTGTCATTCAATTTCAGTTCAAAATTATATTCTATGTAATTGATATAGGCTCATACATAAATGCAGTTTTCTTGCTCTGTTTCACATTTAAACTGCCATTTTACAGCATTAAAATAAATAATAGCAGGTTTAAATTTCTCAGAAAAAAGAGGCCAGAGTAATATAAGTAAAGTAAAGTAAAGATCCCTTTACAAGCCCTTAGGCGCATCGGGCATATGGGAAGAGCACCCATATTTTTACAGACCAATGGGCACTCGGTGGGTAATATGGTCAGCATTACGCCGGCCGTGTTTACTTTCCCAACAAATGATTATTCCAATAATAAATATTTTATAACAAAATTCGTGTCCAGATTTTAGAGTGTCTTCAAACCAAATAATGTAAAGAAAAAAAGACGGACAAACACAAACACTTAGAAGCACAAACACACATCGATGCACCCGATAAACACATGTGATATTAATGAATGTATAAAATCTATTTAAAAAAAAAAATAGGTCTGTCCCTACCTTTTACAATTCATGGGCGGTGCTTCTGACCAAATTTTGGATACAGGTTCAAAAGTTCTACAACTGTTGAAATACTCGACACCATCAAATCCACCGATGACGTAGATGATGTGCCCAATAGTGATCATTCCGTGATAAGCACGGGGTCCTGGAATCAGTAAAGTTGACCGCCTATTTAAAACTCACAACTTTAAAAAATTAACTTGGTGCAGGCTTTTTAAAATTCAAAGATGCAAACAGCGGGGATAAGAGATGAAAAGCAACAACGAAATTCATATTCCGTTTCAATCACCACTGATCACTGGCATCATGGGAGCAATAGACTGCAATGGCTAACTTATTGAGAGAATGTCGGATGACAGAGGGGTAAAAATTGCATACACAAGGGACCTGAATGGTCGTAGACCACGAGGCAGACAAAGAAGATGAAGGAAAGATAATATCCAGACAGAGCTACAAACACTCTGTCTCGCCAGCTGGAATGAGTAGACCATCCAGAAAGACGAATGAAGGTGGGTGATATCTGCAGCCATGAATATCAAGTGCTCCAAATGCCGAAGAAGAAGAAAAAATGCTTTCTAAAAAATATCTTTGACGTCAAAAGAGTCAATCCCAACAACTGTATTTTCTCATACAGAATCATGAATATCAAGTGCTCCAAATGCTGAAGAAGAAGAAAAATGCTTTCTTAAAAATATCTTTGACGTCAAAAGAGTCAATCCCAACAACTGTATTTTCCCATATAGAATCATGAATATCAAGTGCTCCAAATGCTGAAGAAGAAGAAAAATGCTTTCTAACAAATATCTTTGACATCAAAAGATTCAATCCCAATAACTGTATTTTCCCATTTAGAATCATTTGGAGAATGGTTCGATGCGCAATGAGAATAAACTGTCGACTATCAAACCAACTAACTAACTAACTAACCAAACTAACTTTCACATAAAGAACACAAATAAAAAAGGACTTCTTGGAATGTGGTTTGTTTTTATATTCAGATTTCCTACGTGTTCTTAGCCTTGCCTGTTTTAGTGTGAGTTCGTTACTAAAGAAATCCTACCATCTTATACTCTATAATCCGCTGGCATCTCTTCCTTCCTCGTTGTTCACGGGTTGCATGCTCCGGCGGAAAGTCCTGCTTTTTCGTCTGTTTTGACATTGGTCGTGTGCCAGGGCCTGAGATTTGCGTGTATATTCGTTTTACTGGCTTGTTTGTTTCCTGTTGGTTGTTCCTTGCTGCTTGGCAGCTTTGAAGGAAACCCCCAATTAGTCTACTACTACGACATGCTTGTTAGAGAGGCAGTGGGTCTATTCTTGTTTTTCCCATAATGGTGCCCCGGAACACACACTGGGACTCCAATGGTATGAAAGGGCTCCTTCACTTTCTTTACTTACTTAACGTATGATTATGTATCCAGTAGCCACCAAAACATGAAATGACACATAATGTATCACGTTATGTACTGTAGCTATCAGTAACGTTACGCGACACGATGTATTATCAAAACCACAATATCTGCCAGTAACATTACACCATTTATTGTACAGTAAATGATTATATTCTTAGTTTGGTTTATACTACCGATTAACTTCATGGCACAAGGGTTGTAACCCATAAGTGCTCTATTTTACTTCCAACTCAAGCCTGCCCGAAGTAAATCAGCGCAATGTATTAACTCCGTAGCGCCGCCGAGGATCCTGAAATACTTTGGGTAGATTTTTAACTCCACATTTTGTCCGACAGTGCCGTTAGGCTACTCTTTTCAAATTTTCATTTGCCAAGGAAATTTTTTAAAGGGCGCAAAAATACACACGGGCGCCCTATCTAACTACCCAAAGACCAGGGAAAATTACTAGAAGTCTAAGTGAAAAAATCCCAGCCTTCACAGCGGCCTGTACCCGGGATCTCCAGCACTCGAGGCAGACGCCATGCCTTGCCACCACTCAGCCGTCCTCAGCATTATATACACACGGCTAATAACAGCATTGCCGAATACGTTGTATGGTCATATATACATGATTACCAGCATTATAACAAACACGATAAATGTTTATTTACACTTACAAAGGTTGCTTTGCTTGTTTTACATACCCGCATCAGCCACAGGACACACAATCCAGCGATCAGCCCTGGTGTCGTAGGTTTCCACCATGTTGGTTGGTGCGCCTCCGCTCCAGCCACCCATCACAAACATGACCTGGCATACACAGTACATGCACTTCAGACTGTTTCATTAACATTTGTTTTTTAAACAGTTCGTGGGAAGTGTAAAACTGGCATACGTCGTAACGAAAGAAAGGGGGTGTGGGGGTGGAGAGAAGATTCTGGACAAGTTGGCATCATGGTATGCAGCATCTGCATCAGTACTGAATAACAGTAGACGAGACAGATGGCTGGAGACAGGCATGTCACTCGACATGGACAATAAGATGAAGTTGAAGGAACCCTGATAATTAAAGGCGCCTGCCTGAATTACATTAGCACATATCCATGGCAGCCTGGGACATAGCGCGTTTGCCTTCTGGTGTGGTTAACATGTGTTTGAATCTCACCCAACGACAAAAAATAAATGTTTTATTTTAATCTACCTGTTTCTTCATGTCGACCACGTCTAAATAAATCATCGACAGTGCCATATTTCCAATAGATCTCAGGTTCTTCATGTCCGGAACGGCAACTATAGCATTCATTTTTTTTCTGTAGTGTGTTCTTCTTTCTTTCTACTTCTTGCTATGAATGCAGATCAATACATTTTCTGTTACTTTATTAATATATCACAGTTCCAATAGATCTCAGGTATTTTATGTCGACCACGTCTAAACCAGCGATAGCGCCATATTTCCAATAGATCTCAGGGAGTGAGCATTATCCTTATCTTCTGTACACACATACATAATGCATTTAACACCATATTTCAAATTATCAAGAAAAATAAATCGGGACCGTGTAAATGACACCAGTATATTACTTTCATTTCTAATGTAATTCGTGTACAAAATTCTCACAATTTAGAAACTGCACAAACACACCGGACACTGGGTGCTCTCTCCATATTAAAAAGTATTCACATAGGTTGGTGAATTTTTTCATCGTAATTAAAGATATCTAACCTAAAAATGCTAAACAAATCAACAACAAAGTGTAGACATAGATGACAAAGAAACAAATACATAAATAGCTAAAACAGTAAAGAAACAGATAACACATTATAGGTAAAGCAATTTAAAAAAAAAATCAGAAGTGGCTATAGAAATAGGTAAACAGAATGGTGTATACACATATCTGACAGAAATAGCTATTAAAAAAAAGCCTAGATTGTGTACTCGTATCGTAATGGGCAGTAAATGCGACCGGCCGGTCTGATCTTGACCTCATCACACACCAATTGGTCCATAAACAATCTAGCATCATACTTCCAATAAGTCCTTTATTTCAACATAATCATCCTTTGTGTGCCGTTAAACGTCACATGGTGCTCGCATTTGAATCCTCAACTTTGCTCTATTGCACGCGACTCACCCCAGTTAGCCTAGCGTTTTTAGCTGCTTGTAAAAATATGCTTCATACTTTGCCTTGGAAGCACTCTTTTTTCCCCCCTAAAACCATGTGTTCCCTATTTCTGGGACTGTTTTGTAATTCTTTGCTCATTTCGTCTAAGAGTGTGCCCAATATATCTCCACCTTCTTCGTCTTTTTGCAATCGATGCAGGTATTTGTCCAAACAATAATATGATCTCCTCACTCTTTTTGAAAGCATACCCTTTTCTGTACATAAATTCTTTCACACATTTTTCGACATTTATTCTCAAATGCATTTAACCTTCGTTCCATATCTTTGGTGATTCTCCAAAGGTTTGCTGGCATTTGTTAGAAGTAAAATAACTTTAGAACTGAAGTCTCGTAGTTTGGTCTCAGAGTTGTATAATTTGGAGCTCTATATTTTGTTCAAGTTTTAAACAGATTGTTGTTTCTTTGCAAACGCGTACCATAATTTCCTTCTTTGTATCTGTATGAGAGTCAATTTGCTACCCAAGTGTGAGAAGTGGTCCGTTACGTTCATTGGTTTGTTCTCTAGCTTGACATCTACATGATCTTTTGTTAGTATCTTTAATATATTTTTCCATAACCTAATAATTGCAGTCCTTTTTGTGTTGCTGTAGACGACAAATTGTCGGTTTTTCTTTGACAAAGGCTGCCCGGCCGAAACGTTACGTTGTGTTGTTTTGTGCAAATTTGTCTGCTTTCCCGTTTTGTTGAGCTTTTTAGTCAAATTTTTCTGGAATTCTCTGTTTTTCTTTGCATGTCTTTGTTATTTTTACTTAACAGAACAAAATCTTCACGAAATCCAGATCTTCCAGTTGTTTATTCTCTACCCCGTCTACGCCAGTATTGCCTTCGCCACATTTGTTTTCATTGCACAATCAATGGCTACTCCTAAGAACAAGTCACATATAATAAAGCCTTGTTTCACTCCAATTTCCACCAAAAACCATAGTTAAATTATATGTAAAATGTCAAAGGCCTTCTTGAAATAAGGAAAATTCAGGATGAGAGGTTTGCGATTTTCTGTAGCTTTGAAAAAATCGTGTGATAAAATAGCTGGTCTCACGCAAAGCCCTCCTCCTTTTTCATCCGGGCTTGGGGCCGGTTTTGGCAGAGATATAAACATGAATCAAGTGTCATATTCCTAATGCACCACGATGAGGAAAAAGTGCTCTTTATTTACCGAAATTTTGTACAAAAGAAACAGTTGAAAAAAAAAAAAAAACTGGAATCAGGAGAACTTTAAAACAATATTCGAAGATTCAGTTATATGAACAGCGGAAACGAACTGTGTAAAACGGAGTTCATCAGAAATAGAGGAACAGATATGGTGCAATGGATGATAATGTTAACTTGTCCAAACCAACCTCATATGGTATTCTGGGACGGGCTATCGGATTACTCATGTCCACTTCCCTTCTATCGTCCATGTCCAGCTCATACAGAAACCTCAGGGTCTCAATGATGATTGGTCGGCACTGCTCACTATCCTTGACGTAATCATGTGACTTGACCTGGAAAGAATGCAAGAAGCCGTTGCACATATTATTTTCTTGAGCCATGGCTTTCAGATGGGAAAAGTATCAAAATAGACTGCAGGATCACGTGCATTTAGTTCTATTTTAATTAAAATGGATTAAAAGCAAAGTATTGCTAGGAGTGAGACGGTTGATACCTTATCCTGTACAAAAAATTGCCACAAAAACCAACCAACCATGAAAAAGTCACACAAAAAAAGGAAGTGAAACTCAGCCAACCAAGATGGGAGGGGTGGGGGAGGGGTTCCTTCAAGTAGAAAAAGTATGGAAGTTAGAAAGATGGGTAGGAAATGGGGAGAGCTTTATGCAACAGCGAAGGATAGAACGACTTGGCGTATTGGTTTAGGCCCTATGCTCCATTGTGGGATAGAAAGGGAGAAGAAGAAGAAAAGACGGTTGAGGGTTTACTTTTCAATGTAGATAACACGTATACAAACAAAAACAACAACAACAACAAAAAACAGTTGCAGAAAACATTAATTTAACTGCGTATCCTTTACAGGGCGTTGCAGAAAAAACCCAGCATTTTTTGGCTGGTGTGGTTTTTTCCTAGGCAAATTTACGTCTAGTAGTTTGCCGTTGCCTCTGGACGATCGGCGTTTCGATACCACTGTCGAAACCAACGTAAGGCGTGCAGCTGGGAGTGAACCCGGCACCCCGGCTTTACGAAACGAGTTCACAACGTCTAAGCCACAGACGCCGACCATCCAAGCATACAAACTCATAAAGTATTATTCGTATCTACAGCTCTCTCTCTCTCTCTCTCTCTCTCTCTCTCTCTCTCTCTCTCTCTCTCTCTCTCTCTCTCTGTGTATGGCTTTGTGTGTGCGTGTGTGTACGTGTCGCTCATTTGATCTAAGAGAAAGGGTGACACAGTGGGAGTGATAATAAGAAAGCGTAAGATAGCAGGAAGGGGGGGGGGAAGAGGGATAGAGAAGATGAGAGGAGGTTAGGAAAAGATATAAAAAGTGCAGATGTAACAGTGTACCAGATACATGATTGATACAATGTAAGCACGCATAATCTTTGTACTTTTTCGACAAAGAAGCTTGTAGTCAGTAATCCCAATCTGATAGTGCGCAACAGACGAGCAATGTGGCGCCTTCTTCTCTCTGGGCTGTAGTCAATCCACCGGCAAAGGGCGTCAAAGACAAGCTCCTCTGTTCTCACGTTCAGGTTGTCGGATTGCAGGATGTCTGTAACCTTAAAAACATTTAATGTTAACAGTTTTCAAGAAAGTATATTCCCTATCCTTCACCCGTTAAACACTTGCATAAAGATATAAATGTCTCTCATTAGACTGCAATGCATGCAGGAACGCCAAAACCTGGAGCTCATTCATCTTGAGCCAACCCCCCCCCCCCCCCTCCTCTTTCACCCCTGAACAAAAGAAGTGTAAGGGGACAGCCACCCCCACCCCCAACCCAAGAAAAGGTGTAAGAGGACTTAGGCGCCACCTCCTCCCCCCCTCCCCCCTCATCCCTCCCGGCAACTTTTTTTTTTCACCAATTCCGCATGATTAGCATAGGACATACCATCCCTGAGTCTGCCAAATATACTAGGGTAGTTGAAAAACAAAATGAACAAGTATGAAAGGACCTTGCCCAACCAGTCATTTATGGAGGCAGAATTTTAAAATTGACATGAACTCGCAGATCGAACAAGCTTCTAATGTTTACCAGTAACCATTCTAGCAGGTAAAACTAGCTTGTTTAATATTAAATAGGAAAATGTTGTGACCACTGGAAACATCTGAGGAAAAAGAGGCAGGGAAAGACAACGCGAGACGATCAGTGACAGTCTTTTATCACGGCACGTATGGGTGTCAGCACATGAACTGATAAATTCTGCTGAAGATCGCAGATTAGGGAGAGGCATGATCGCCCACGCTAGTCGGCGAGGTACTTGATAATAGCGATGACATTCACCACATACTCATCTACTTTCCACTGGTCTCTAGAAAAGCGTTATATAAGTAAATTTAAAGATCCCTTTTCACGCCTTTAGATGCCAGCGGGCATATAGGAAGAGCACCCATATTTTTACATATTTTTACAGACCAATTGGCACTCGATGGGTAGTGTGGTCAGCTTTACGCCGGCCGTCTTTACTTCCCCAGGACAAAGCGTTATATGCTCAAAGCTTATTATCGGGTACTTTAATTCAACTTTGAAATGTACATGCTTGGATGCACACCCTTGATACATAGTTTGTGAACTGTACTAAACTTTTGCCAACTGTCATAAATGGATATAAACAAGGGTGACTGCAGTGGTATTGGTATTAAAAAGAAATCCACAGAACTGAGACAGGAATAAATATGTGACTTCCCTTGTATGGGCGCTGGTTTCTATGATTCTTCTTCTTCTTCTTCTTCTTCTTCTTCTTCAGTTGCTCACAGATAAAGGCTTCTGATGAAACGTCCGATGGTTTCTGTGTATGTGACTACCCCTCCCTCACACCGCAAGCAACTAAACTTTCTAATCATAGTTCAGTGAATTCACATGTGGAGGCTACTGGAGTAATAATGAAGATATACATGTTCATTTTAAGTGGTTCCAACCCAACCAACGAAATCATTACTTTATAAATATTTCAAAAAGTTAATATTTTTCACATGTGTAAATACCTCTTCTATATCCAGCTGTAAAAACTCGTTGCTTGTTGTATAGACGGAGTAGAAATTCACCAGAATGTAGTTTAATGCCTGCTGTTCTAAGCCGGTGCAGAAGTACGACTGAGCAAACTTGCGAATCCCAATACAGTTTTCCGCACAGAGTTGTGATGCCAGGAAATCACAACAAGCCTGGGAAATTACATGCGTACATTTTTTTTGGATAACATATAGTACACTAAAATCTAAAATGTACCCCGCCCATATATGTATTTAAAACAGGTGATATCAAGTCGGATCGATACTGGCTCCCAGACTAACATAGTTTTTGAGTTCGTTGGCATGTGAAGTCCACCTACGTGGGCTTCCCCATCTCTTACGAGATACGCCTGACCAAACTTGAAGAGAACAGATACAGGAAAGAATTGGAGGACACACAATAATATGGATGAACCGGATGGAGGAAGACCCACGAGGAAAATTCATAAAGGAATTTATGAAGGTGAAGAGAAGAGGAACACTTTGGAACACAGACAGAAAGATAGATATTATAACAGGAACATAAAGCCAGGAAGTGGACGCACATGCCTCAATCTCAATCACGCAAGTGGGCGCAAATGAACCACATCACAAATATAACCAGAGACTTTTGGCAGCTAGTTGCCAACATCAGATTGAACGTGGTCAAGTTTAGAAAAAAAAATGGAAATTGACAGTTTTAAACAGGTACCAGATACTGTCCTAATAAAGTATTGGCGGACAGAGTGGTGTTGAAAAAAACACTCATCGAGTACCGATTGCTTTACAAAATACGAGTCTTGCATGATATTTCCGATTCCACACTGTGGTAAAAGGGTCCCTTAGGTGTACATTAACATTACCATCACGCCATTCTCACGTTTAAAAAAAAAAAATGTTTGTGCTGTGCCTCTATAAAAGTCCTAAGTGTCCATGTCTGTTCAAAGATTTTAATCAGCGTGTAACAAACCTGGATGTTCTGACTACTCTGCACCTACGGCCCTTAAACAGCTAAGTCACTTGCATGTATTTCTGGTGTAGCAGTAAAATTGTCCTTCTGATGACGTATGCTGGCCAAGGTTCTATTTTGTTCCGTGAGGAGGTGGTTTTCACGGGGAAAAACATGATTTTCCGTTCTGGTTAATTTTACGTCATAAAGAAAGACTTTATTATGAGTGCATAACATGCGTGCAGTATACAACGTACGTGTGGTTCTTTAATTGTCATTGAATTTGTTGAAAGACACTGCATGAGATAGAGTTGAGATACGACTGACCTTGACAAGACCAAGAACATGGAACTGGTCGGCAGCCGGAAGTAGCTGTTCCACGTTGTTGGCATTGACTTTGGCGTGGCGAGTGTAGGCGTAGTCAATGACAACCGACATCACATCACTGCTGACCTGGGTCAGTGTTATCTCATACTGGCTGGTAGGGGCCTGGTGTGAGTAGGTGGGCAGTAACACGGTATAGGTTTACGGCAAGATCATCACAACACTGCATTATAGCAAGAACACAACACTGCAGCATGGTATACTTATCACAACAATACAGTATGGCTACGTAAACGGCCTACGACGTCATATTTTACTATATAAATCTTTCTTCTTCTTCTTCTTCTTCTTCTTCTTCTTCGTCGTCGTCGTCTTCTTCTTCTTTTTCTTCTCCTTCTCCTTAAATTTAATGCCGTGTGGCGTTGGCAATCATGTCTTTCCACAACCTTCTGTCTCGTGTACCTTTAATCAACTCACATGATCCTCCATGCCATGATATAAGACTGTCCAGCAACTCTACTCCCGGTCTCCCTTTGCCTCTCCTCCACTCCAACTTTTTTTTTTACTGCCACGATCTACTAAAGTTTTCTTCTTATCAACACATGACCAAAGAATGAAGATTGTCTCCTTCTAATAGGGCAGGTAGTTTTCTTCGTCAGTCAGTTTCTGGCAAGACATCTGAATTACTCTTTTTTTTTTTTTTTTTATTAATCTGTCTAGGGTGCTCTCATCATTCGTGTATAAAACCACATCTACGCAGCTTCCAAATAAGTTTTCGCTAATTTACCAACTGTAAATTAATAACTTCTGTATGTTGACAGGATTTATATATCTTTTAAGAATTCTTCACGACTAAATTGAACAAAGACAAAGAAAAAAAGATTGCATAAAATATTCTTCATTTTGTAAAATGCTGCATTTGCTTGAGCTATTCTACATTTAACTTCTTTAATACATATTCCATCTGATGTTATCAGGCCAAGTATTTAAACATTTAAACTTGCTTGAGATTTGTCTTATTTACTTTCCTGTTGAGTTTTGGAGGCTCAGTTTTCTTTGTAGTTACAATTGCTTTTGTTTTCTGATGCTCAAACTAGCACACTTTTTTCACTTTTCGTTACAATTATATTCATCAGTGCTTGCAGCCGTGTTTCACTAACAACGATCAAAACCACATCGTCAGCATACCGCAGGTTGTTAACAATGTGCCCACCAACAGATATTCCTGGCATACCATGCAGGGATCTAATTAGTATTTCCTTGTATAAATTGAATAAATCGGTTTACAGCCAACATCACTGTCTAACGCCTTTTTTTAATTCATTAAAATGTTCCAACTTGGTTGTCAATCCTTAAGGATGTTTCTTGTTGCCAATATATGTTTGTTTTTATTATTCTCAGATCTTTTCAAAGTTAAAGGTTTCCGAAATTCTAATAATTTCTTCAGTTGAGTTCTATAATTGCAGAAACTCATACAACGAACAAGCAACTATGAAAAAGAACTGAGTCTCTGGAGATGTGGATATACAGAAGAATGGGTCATATTACATAGGAACAAAAACAGTCCTACACAGAGACTACAAAGGAAAAGAGAATTACTGAAAGAAATACAAAAAGAGACAATTGAAATACTTTGGCTACGTTAAAAGATATATGACACTTTTAAAAACCATACTGGAGGGAGAGGTAAAGGCAAGAGAGCAAGAGATGGGCAACGATACAAGTGGGTGGAAACTATCAAGAGATGGACGGGCATGATGAAGATCCATTGCAGCCAACCTTCACTGTAGAGGACGACACCTGACTGATTAAACAGTTTTGTCGAAATCTCTAAACCAAGTTCACCAGCAGCTTCTAATTCTTCAATAGTGATGTGATCTGACCCTGGAGATTTACATTTCTTCATGTGGTTTATAGCATCTTCCACTTCCGCTTTCAGTACTAGCGGTCCTTCCCAGTGCTCCTGACTTACTATGTCTGGTCTGCTGCAACGATCGTATAGCTCTTTGGTGGACTCTTCCGGTTAAAATGGACGCTAGGCAGTGGCACTGTAAGAAGCAGAGGCATATTTTTTGCTTCTGCCGGACGGTGGCCGATGCATTTTTGCTCCATTTGTAGACTGGATATAGTTTTGTCGCCCAGCTTCTGAGTTGAATGCATGGTGTGATACTGTGAGCTGCGGATTGCATTCGGAATGTTTTTTCGACTGTGATTAACGTGGTGGTGTGAATTGTAGATTCAGAAAATGGCGCGATGCCTGTCGTGCAATGTTGGCGGTGCCCGTATGTGATTAAAAGTGATCGCGTGGGCAACTGCTGATTTGTTGGCGACAGGTTCTGCTATCACCAATAATGAACTGCATTTCCAATGTTGGACTGTTTGTGTTAGCACTTCGGATGGCTACCGTATGCTTTAATGTGAGTGTATGCTAGATATGCTGAGACAGCAGTCTGTCAATCTTTCCACAAGGGACTGTGATAAACATTCTGTGTGTTTTTCGTTGGCACAGGAGCAGAGCAAAGATGGGGTGACCCGTTTGCTATGAAGAAAAAAACTAAGATTACCAGACTACCAACCAGACTGTGGACTCTGTCAATCTTTCAATTACCTTCTCTTTGTCTATTCATCTTTCACCGTCTTTTGTTTTCAAGCAACTACTTGCTGTATATTTTCTTAAACCTAATAGCGCTTGTATTCTTTTATAAATGTCTCGTGTATTCTCTCTATGTTCGTCAATTTCATTGTACTTATTTTTTTAGCCATACTTCCTACGTTGCACTACAATTACGCAAATCTTTCTATGTATTCTTTTCTACTCATCTTGTTTGTGTTTATTTGTTCTTTTAATTTCCATCAGATGGAATATTTCCTTTGTCATCCATTTAATCTTCACTCTCTTCTTTACTTATGGTAATAGTTCTTTTGATGTCTGTTGTAATGACTCTTTCAGCATTTGCTATTTTTCATCTCTACTGCTTGTCTGTTCAATAACATTAAAATGCAAGCCTTTAGCTTCACCAAAATTAGACCCGAAACCAGTCGACTACACGTACAATATTTTTGTACAGCACAACACGAAAATATAAATAAATAGAACAACACTGTTATGACATGTATGGAAACTAACAGTATGAGTAATATAACAATTACTAAATATAATTTAAAATATAGTACTAAAATTAATAACTAAAATAATTACAGTTTGTTATTGTTTACAGTCAGTGATACCTCACTGTCGCCTTAAAAAAATGTAAATGTAATCATTTGTATATAATAACTGATTAAATAATTCAAAAATGACTGTTCTGTTGACGGCAGAGAATACCAACTGCTGGCATCAAGGCATGACAAATAATTAGCTCTTTATTTTAAAAAGAGGACTCGGAAACTGAGAGAGCTCTTTCACAATGGTTCAGGCCCAACCCTTAACCTTTACCAGTGGCTCTCAAACTTCCTAACGCCGCGACCCTTTAATAGTTTTTTTTTTTTTAATGTTTTGGCGACCCCCTACCATACAATTATTTTCGTTGCTACTTTTCAACTTCAATAAATATGTGTGTTGCGATGGTCTTTGACGACCCCTGTGACCCCCGCAGGCTTAGAACCGTTGACCTTTGTAATTTGTTAAAGGTGTAAAGCATTAATTGGTTTTTCTTGCAAATTGTCTAGGATGAGCTCACTCTGCCGATGTTTTCTGCGGATGAGCCTAGCGGAACCTATACCTCCAGTATTAGTCTCTATTGTTGATAATCGTAGTAGTAGTTATGACAATGTCAATACCACTGGGTAGAAAAGGTGCTTGCAGTTTCACAAGTAAGGTATACGTCCGGTAATACGTGCAGCAGGATCAGATCAACCCTGAGCTTAATGAACTCAGGTGGGGCCACCCTCCGAAAATGTCTAGGAGCTCGTAGGCCGAAACAGTTGTTGACGAAGGATCACTTCTACTGATGGTTGGTGGACTCCTGCTTTACATGCTCCCCTGTGGAGTTTATTCTTACTCTTAGACCCTTTATATTGTGCATATGTGGTCATCATTACATCGGTCGTTTTTGCTTCTGAAGAATTTACCTAGTACCCATTGTAGATTGGGTCGACCTGCCCAGGCATGTACTTTTCTAACCCCCCTCCCCCAACTCCTTTTCCCCCCTTTCGCTCGGTGAGGATTTTAACCTGCTACCTTCAGGACAGAACCGATCACCTAGCCGCAACACCACAGCTGGTCTAAACAAAATCGAAAATAAAGTGGCCATACAATTCCTGCACATACCTCGCCCACTTGACTGGTGAACAAAGCCCTGAAGAAGCTGCTGCAGGCAGAGAGTATGTTTCTGTGGATAGGGAAAGCCACGTCTCCGACCCTGATTATGGCATCACAAAGCTCTCCCTTCTCACGCAACTCAGCCAGGATGTTGCAAGCCTGTCAGACGGTGATCATTCTCTTATGAGTAGTGACTATAAGTATCTGGGATTCGGTTTAACAGCTATGAAACTGATAGACATTTCATAACAGAGTACACACACAGACATACACGCGCGTGCATACATGCACGTTTGTGTTTTTAAGTAACTTATCAGCTTTACTAATATTGTCGTGTGTTTGAAATGAGAATATGCCCATTCCTATAAAATACTGACACAGCAGATAATTGAACATGACTATATGTTCCCAGATCACGGGACAAAAACCTGATTTTTTAATATATATATATATATATATATATATATATATATATATATATATATATATATATATATATATATATATAGTAAAAGTAGAAAAGAATCCATTTGGCGCTCTCGCCAAGGTGGTCTGGAAAGAACGGCGATGAAGGGTGCAGTTTCTGGAAAACGAGTCAGAATCCAGCCGCCGCAAAAGTGGATACAAGACATTGAAGACGCATTGGCTATGAAAGCACACAGGGTTGGAGAATTGGTTAGAGAAAAAACAAAGACTGTCAGGTGTCAAGCAATGTTCTTTAAAGGACATGCTGATTTCCCCGTGTGGATTTTGGTTCCTATTGTGGGGATCACGAGAATAGACCCACTGCCTCCGCAATTTGCATGTCGTAAGAGACGACTAATTTGGGGTTTCCTTTGAAGTTATAGTGTATCTGCCTGAGAGGAGAGGAACTAACAGCCTACATGCAAAAAGGTCAGATTTGTAAAACTTATGTTCACGAAACGCTCGGGTTCTGGATGAACAACAAAAACTTTCTGCCGGAGTTTACAGCCGGAAGGAGGAGGAGGAGGAGGAGGAGGAGGAGAAGAAGAAGAAGAAGAAGAAGAAGAAGAAGAAGAAGAAGAAGAAGAAGAAGAAGAAGAAGAAGAAGAAGAAGAAGAAGAAGAAGAAGAAGAAGAAGAAGAAGAAGAAGAAGAAGAAGAAGATGACTAAGTGATTTACTGATTGATTGTAAATATAATCCCTTTTCGCATCATTAGCCTGTTTTTCTAGGAACATGACTGTAGACTCGTCATCTTTTGTTGGCTGACGTGGTCAATACAATTCTGACAGCTTTTCTTTCCCCTAACATTTTTTGGTACCAGTTTTAGGCTGGAGCAAGATGTGAACCAGGACAATGAAGAAATAATTCCGTCGTCTATAGGCATTCGATGAGATACATAAGAAGACATTCGAACGCTCCAGGCAATGCCCCTTCGGGGCTGCTGTGTAGTTACTAAAAGTTAATGATCCGTTTTCCAACATACAGCTCAAGTAGACAAGTCGAAGCAAATCCATCAGTCGGAAAAAGAAAGGCATTAAGGCTTTCAGTTAGCAAAAGTTCATCACTTGTTTATTCTATAAATATAGCCGCCGGAATCTGGTGGCTCTGGGCTTATGAGCTCCCACCATGTACCCCCTTGAAATACAGATAAACTGAACAGGCAGCAGCTAGTATTGAGTCCTTGAATTTGATACCTCTAACTGTCAAATTGCAAAATTTCAGTCAACTTGGTTACATCGTGGCAACTGACAAAGTATCTTGGAAGAGGGGCAGAGGAAGACCAAGACAGAATATGTTGGGTAGTTAGGCATGAAGGCATGGAAGACTTTCTGTCTCGAAAATAAATAACCCTGTAGGCAGTGCACACCATAGGTACAATATTTCGAATACCTTAGTCATCAACAAAAGATATTACTGCAGGCGTAATGAAATCTCTTCTGCACTTGTCATTTAATGAGAGGTTTGCACATTACCTTGTTTTGTTTTTCAGCCTGGTTGCGAAATCAGCACTTTTTGGCCTAACATATCAGAGTTTAGTAGATCCTTAAAACATTGCTTTTTACGATATGCTTTTGAAGGGGCAGTGGTTCTATGCTTCTAACTTTCTCACCCCAAATGTGGTCCCTCAAACCCACTCAGAGATTGAAATCACTAACCTGAGAACTGAATTCCGATTTCAGCGATGTGGACATCGCCGACTCTTCGGACACGGAGTCGTCCTGCCGCGCGTCGACGGCGGACATAGTGGTTGCTTCGCCAGGAGTGGATGTTGCTGAGACTAGAACCACCATAAATAGATGTTACCAACTTGGGTACCCCCCACCCTCCAAAGGTGTACCTCCTGGTGTTGAGCTGTGGTCAGGCAGCCGGTGTTTCGTGGAAACCTTCCATGCTGTGAACGAGAAGAAAATGAGGGGAGGTTTTAGGCGTGTTTTGAGCCACAGCTCTGTTTTTGAGATTAGTTGAAAAACGTGTTTAATAAGAGTTTGCCTTGCTGCGAAACGTGCTGGCGACACTGCTAGATGTTTGGCGCGCAAAAAGATGATACTGACTTGAGTGGAATGAATGTTGAAGTAGGAATCGACATCACAGCACTCTGGACACCCCCATAAGCGCTCCGTCCCCATCTTCAGCAGCAAGCGAAGAGTTAAAATTCAGATGATACCAGTCATCATTATCAGGTGCCTTGCCAACTGGCGTGGGCGATCATGCCTCTTCAAAATCTGCTATCTCCTGCAGCATGTATCAGTTCGTGTGCCGACACACCTCCATGCCATGCAACAAGACTGTCAAGCATCTTCTCTCGTTGTCCTCCTCTATCTCTCCTTCGACAGATCTTTCCAGTGGTCACATAATCAATTTTCCCTCTTCTTATAACATGGCCGAAAAATGATGACTGTCTCCTTCTAATGTCTGTGATAAGTTGTGATAACCAGTAACTGTCTGATTATTTGTACGCCTAGCGGAAATGTATCGAGTTCATGATTCAGTAGATCCGTCAAAGTCAAATCCCCGGCTATGTGCTGAATGTTACTTAATGTACGATTCACGTTATTTCTCGGAATTAACGTTTAACCTGAGCTAAGTCTCGGACACAAGTCCTAACTGTCAGACCACTGCTGAAAGCAGTTTGTTCTAGCGAGTCCTACTGATAGGACCGTTGAGTTCCTAGCGTTGGCCAATATTACAGTCTAGTCGCTTTATGCTGTGTATGTGTGTGTGTGTGTCTTCAAGTGTTCTGGGTGTATTTGTTGGCCGTCGTGTCTTTTGGCGACAAGACCGATATGATCATGTCTTATGATACTGTTTGGACACCGGCCTATTTGCCAGCACGAAAGGATTGTTATATAAACTTGTGGATTTTTTGTGAGTAGCGCTCTGTGTCTGCTTCCACACGAAGTGCAGTCCAACTTTCACAGCGGTCAATCAAGCGATCAAATAACTGTGACCACCTTCAGCTTCAGAAAACCACGGCCATCTTTAGCTATAAATAGGCCAACTGGGTCAACGGGGATTCCCGTTCTTGTGCAAGAATTGAGTCCCTCTGTAACAGTTTTTATTAATGAGATGTATACACAAATTAAACTACAGTTTCATTAATTTTCTACATATTTTATAGAACTATACGTCATTTTTAAGGTAAATAAGTGTGCCAAATAAATATAACAATAAAGGCTCTTACAGACAAACAAAAATGCTTTTGCTACAGTCAACATGAACATAAACATCAATAACGTTTAGATGAAAACTAAAAGTTGTTCCAGCAAAAGTAAAGAAATATCAGTGCTAACTCTTTGATTCTGAGAGGGTGTTCTTGCATCAGAGGAGCGGAGAGGGGGGGGGGGGGGGGTGACATGTGTACTTTATCAAATTTAGCGCATACAAATTCTGCGAAGCAAAGCAAAAACCAGTTTACAAAAATTAACAGACCGTAGAAGTGCAAATATGCAAAAGAAGTTGATGAACTACCAGAAGTTTCCGCAAGAGTTTACAGCCAGTGTTCGCGAAGCAAAGCGAAAGCCAGTTTACAAAAATTAACAGACCGTAGAACTGCAAACATGCAAAAGAAGTCGATGAACTACCAGAAGTTTCCGCAAGAGTTTACAGCCAGTGTTCGCGAAGCAAAGCAAAAGCCAGTTTACAAAAATTAACAGACCGTAGAACTGCAAATATGCAAAAGAAGTCGATGAACTACCAGAAGTTTCTGCAAGAGTTTACAGCTAGTGTTCGCGAAGCAGAGCAAATGCCAGTTTACAAAAACTAACAGACCGTAGAACTGCAAACATGCAAAAAAGTCGATGAACTACCAGAAGTTTTCGCAAGAGTTTACAGCCAGTGTTCGCGAAGCAAAAGCCAGTTTACAAAAATTAACAGACCGTAGAACTGCAAATATGCAAAAGAAGTCGATGAACTACAAGAAGTTTCCGCAAGAGTTTACAGCCAGTGTTCGCAAAGCATAAGTCAAATGGTTGAGGATTAATATTATTAGTGTACTGCTACAACATATAATTATACTGTTAGTAAACAATTAGTAAAGAGGCAAAGAGTGACTTGCTGTGAGAGGTTAGTTAGTAAATTAAATATTATTTTCACCCACTTACCTAGAGCTCCAAAATATCTTGACACAATTTATCCACAGTGTGGTTGCACCATTTATGCATAGTCAATATGGAAGCAATAGTTTTCTTCAAACACAAGATAGTTTGCACCTGACAACTGTCGATATTCTCCAGATATGGCTTCTAAATTAACTGTTTAAAGTATTTTCCCTAAAAGTAAGTTTTCCACATTCAAAGTAGAAAAAGAATAAACAGCCAGTTCCCAAAAATCCAAACTACTGACTAGAAACAGTGACACACACATCGCAACACGACCGACTCCCGTGAATTTAAATTCAAATTGCTGTAATCTAACAGTAAAGTTTGAAAATCTTGTATATCTACTTCAGAATATCCACTTGTAGATATGTAATACGAATTCATTCAGAACACAGAACTGTGCAAGCACATTAAAATGTCACACAATGCAGGACATGGAAAGGGCTTACACTAACCAGTTTTCGAGGGACTCCATCCAAAAAGTCACGTGATTTAGTTAGATGGCGTAATTTAAAGTTGGCGGTGCAGAAAACATTGCTGCTCTCTGCCCTGTCCGCTATATTTGTGGTGACCTTTCTTGTCTTCATTTCATCTAGTTTTGAATTGTGCTGTCAGGATTGGCTGTTTTCGCATCTGGCTGGCCGTGCGTTGCGCTCCGGATCGTTAGGTTTGCTGCTCCGCTGTCATAGCTGTTTCGGGTGGATTTGATTGGCCGGTTGGTGTGTCCAAGGAGGGGGCTTATCCTAAGAAGGACTAGCAGATGTTTGCTTTGGGAGATTAGCAACGAGTTATGGTGGGATTTAGTGTTGTTTATGTGGTATTCTTCTATCTTGATTGTCTGACGCTGCTCCTTCATAGGGTTTCAAATGTTTTGGTGTTGGCGGTGAAGTAGCGAGGCCTTTATCTATCGGCTGAACTACTACCTGTTCGCGAAAGACATTTTTTCTGCTTGGGAAAGTTGCAAATTCAAATCCTTATTCTTGGCTCAATCTCCAGAGCATACCTATGGGTTTCACCGTTGTCTTGAAAATCTTCAGCACCACCTTTAAAAGTCTCCAGTTCACTCTGAGAACTTCCATTGAGCATAGGATGTGTGTTGACCTCTCTGGAGGAGTGCCAGAATCACAACGCCTAAAATACCATTGTCTGGCAACTGCATCTTATGTCAATACTCAACAACACCTACTTCGAGTCAGTACACACACCAGTAATTCAGATTTTCTGCAACCAGTCTTTGGGGTAAAGCAACCAGTGGTGACAAGTGGTGTCATACCTGACTGTAACCTATGGTGCCATTTCAATGGTTTGAAATGAATTATGTCTGTATTTCATAGTTGTGGATTTCAAGCTGTACGATAGACATGGCCAATAAGACACCTTTTCGGGGGTGCCTAGTTGACCATGTTCTTAGTGCACTTGTATCCGTGGCGAGGCGCACATGCCGTCTGGAGGTGACAGGATCAATTCCCGGCACGGTAACTATAGCTTTCGATTTTTATATTGTCCAGTGTGTTGTTCTATTATTCTACTTCTTTCTATGAGTGCCAATCAATTCACTTTCTGTTACTGGATTAATTCATACCTGATGTAGAACAGTTTGTGCCTATCAAACATCATCAACATGTGTAGTATACAGAATCCATAATCTGCTCTTGCCAAATCCAACCGGAGTGATGCAAATTGTTATGGTTATTGCTGACAATAGTGTATAATTAAAAGAACATTTCCTTATTGTGGAACATGACTTTTTTAAGTGCTTTCCGCACATGAAATTGCTAGAGCATAGCAAGTCTAAATATTACTCCAGAACTAGTGCCTAACTCATTGTCCAGCACAGCTCCTAGTGAAGTCCAGCCTATTAACTGTGGAGAGGATCAAGCCCATCTCAGGGTAATAACTACAGATACTCTGAAACTGCGGCCACCCAAAACACTAGTGCCCACTTTAACTCTTGTCACAACAGGTCTTGCCGTGATGAGTTATGAGGGTTGTAGGCAGCCCAGGAGTCTTTCTGGAAGAGTTTAGTTCTGAATTCACTAGTTTCCTTGATTTGTCCTCTGCTTTCATTTACTCTTCAGACTCTTTAACACTGTTGTACTTATTACATTATGTATTATTATTTTGGAATCAGATTTTCCAATGTCCAAACTTTTCCAGTTCTTTTAGATTAGATTGTGTGTGATTGTGTTGTTGTTTGGTCAAATTAAATACTGTGTTACATTTTGACTATGATAGTTTTCCTATTTAGTCTAGCAGCTTTTAAATGGTGAGGAGGTCAGGCCAAGTTGTGCCCAGTTATATTTATTATTGCAGTGGGAATCATAATTTGAGTCACCTCACACTTGAAGTGATGTTAGATGGTCGTTGGAGCTACGGAGTACCATCTAGACTACTACGAGTCACCATCTAACATAAAGTCACTTCACAATGTCTTTGATTACTAGGGGAAACCCTAATAAAGAAATGTGACAGACGCGTCATGTGACAATATTCTGGAAAAAGGAGGTAATAAGCTAAAAAGCAACTGCAGTGCCTAGTCACAAATATTGATATATTAGTCCAAAATATTTATACATTATAATGATTAGTGGTGGCAGATAAAAAAGGGCAGATAAAAAAGTTAATATGCATAGACAATTTATCAC